CAGCGGGCCATGCGCCTTGCGTTGGTTTCGACAGTGGTATCATGGGTCTGAACGTCCAGAAGTAATGGCAAACTCTGGACGTAAATTTGGCCAGCGCTCGCCTGCGGATGTAAAGTTCGTGGAAAGCAGAGGATTTTTTTTTAATATAAAAACCTTTGCACCCAGGTTGACCTAGACTTGAGTGGATAGGCGGTGGTGTCCTAGAATGTAAAAGCGGCCAGCGCGATGTTTGCCACATTAAATTAAGTGAGGTTTGGTCTTTAAAACAGTTTTAAAGCTAGATGCGTAATTCGCCTTAAGGCGTGGAAAAGGAAGGGTCCTTTACTTAAATTACTGTATGTCTTCCTGACAAGGGTCGCTCAGTGAAGGAGTTCCTCACTACATACAAATAGCATTCCTGTTGTCACCGACTCAAAATACAGACTACTAGTTACAGTACAGGAAAGACGCATTGCTTGAACGACATGTCGACAAGATACTTCCTGGTACAATAAATGTCCGGACAAGAATACTTAAAGACCAGTCACGACAACAGAGTCTTGAACCCCTATTGAAAAACGCCTTAAAACCAGCACCTACAATCAGAGAGCAGCAGAAAACAAGAAGTTATTACCCCAAATAGAAGAGACTAAAAAAAAAAAAAATGCTGCATGCAAAGAACAGCAATAACGAATTGAAGAACCTACAAGTACATTCTGGCACATCAAAGGAAAGACACAGAATTTCCAGCAGCCACAGAGTCAGAGAAAACAAGCAACAACAAAGGTATGATTAAAGACCCCAGAAACCAAGGAAAAGAATCAAGAAGAGAAATAAAATAAAACACACAACATCTGTAGAGAAAACTCGTGAAGCAAAAAACCAGAGAGGAAAGTCAAGAAATGGTGAACAGAAAGGAAACCGGTATGACTGGGCGGAATTACCCGAATATAGACGAGCTAAAGCATGAGTAAGTTCTAAATCACAATGACCGTGCAACGAGCAACCAACACTCGGTGACACGAGATACCATCGTCTGAATGGCCCGGCTCTCTAGCGTAGTTAGCTAAACCGGGTTGCGCGGTGAGCGGGTGACGAACTCCTTGTGGTCCGGGTTCACTCCCGGGGGTAGGCAGAAAAGCCACATTTATCCCAGATTTACGGTGTTTACAATGGAATCAAGGCCGAAAGGTTGCGATATCCATAATACCGAGCCTAAGGGTTAACAACATGGCTTCTGGATACTAAAACAAACAAACCAACCGTCATCTGAATGAGAATTACCAGTTCACAAGTCACAGAAACCCAGCTGAACAGTTAAGTTATTTGTAGGACCCGGACGACTGCCGGTGTCGGACTTTGAAAGCACCAAACTTTGAGCCCATAAATGCCACATAAGTGTTTGGCATTTACCGAATGTTACACTGCTTTTACAATGAAAATTAACATTGGTATTGATATACTCTTAGCTAGAGTTCATTAATCAATATAGTTGCAAACATCCTGTAGATTCACATTTTCTTGAGCTTTCAACACTATTGATTTTTTTTGCAGATTCTGCCTGCTCTCTTGGAAAGTACGGAATTGACTGTGAGCGTACCTGTTACTGTCCTGAAGGGACGCCATGTTTCGCCAGCACTGGAGAGTGTCATCCGGGATGCGATCCAGGGTTTGAGGGGGAAACCTGTCTTCGTACGTAACAATAGGATGTTAGTGGCTCACGAGTGTTTTGTTTCGAGTGTCGCATGTACACTAAAAAAAAAAAAAAAACATAGTTATCCGATGGCTCGCTTTTATTAATTTGTAAAAAAAAAAAAAAAAAAAATCGTAATCGGGTACGCCAAAGTCGACTTTTTGGGCAAACCAGCATTGTCCCTGGACAGGTGACAATCAGTGGAGACGTGTCTGGTTCAGTGACGAATCTTTCTTTTTGTTGCAGCGTCATGATAGACGAGTATGTGTACCTTAGGGTAAATAAAGATTTAGTCCCAAATTGTGTTGATGAAGCTCTGCTGTACGGTGGTGGAGTGGTAATAGTGCGGGAATGATCAGTTACAGCGGAAGGAGTCAATTGGTCTACACTGATGACGGAAGCTTGAATGCGCTACTTTACATCAATAAAATTGGTTGGCCACATGTCCCTCCATTTTGAGATGCTATCAGATATCATTTTGAGCAGAACAACGCCAGACGCCCAGTCTGCACGGTTGACCACGCAGATTCTGGCGGCCAATAACATTCAAACCCTTTCCTAGCCATCCCTCTCTGCAGACATGAGTCCGGTGTAGCACCCTTGGAATGACCTGCAAAGATGTGTTTGTCGCCTAGGCATTGCTCCAGCCAATGGTCGTGATCTGTTTGAGCTACTCGATGAATGTGGGCAACCATTCCACAGAGCCACATATAACATATGATAGGAGAAGCTAGTCACTGAGCCACTCAAGAGGAGGCCACACAGCTTATTAACAAGAAAGGCTATAGACCTACAAATTATCGTAACCCAGATTTTTTTTTTTTTAAAAATGTCAACTCATTGGTGGAAACTTAAGCTATTTTTATGTGAAATGTAAGTACTTTCTCTTTATTGTTCTACTAAGATGCAGAATGTCAAAATTGTGAGTGTATATGTCCCTTCAAGTAATTGTGCGTTTTTTTTTTTTTTCGTTTTGTTTGAATAGTATATCATCGGATCTTGTCTGGCAGATGTAGAAAGTGATCTTGAATAGTGTTTGATTGAGGAAAAGATTATGTAGGGTGTTTGAGAGAACTTTGTTTTTCAATCACATCGTCTCGGGGACTCCAAGATTTCGTGGGAAGTTCACGGGAAAGTCCAATATTGGGGGGGGGGGGGGGGGGGGGGGTGGGGGGGGGAGAAAGAGAGAGAGAGAGGGTTAGTTTTATTCAGTGTTTTTTTTTTTTTTTTTTTTCACAACCTTACACCCTTATACTATTGAACTTTACCCGCAGACTTCCCAGGATATCTCGGAGACCCCGAGATGGGGTAAATTAAAAGAAATAGACATGTCTAAGTGTTGGAAAAGATTATGTAGAGTGCTCACATGTAGGAAATGATTATGCTTGGTGTGTTGTTGTTTTTTTCCTTCTTCTGCTTTTTCTTTTGTTCGACGGCTACAAGTTGTGGCAGGAAGTCCTGTTTGAATTTTTTTTAGTAGAAAAAGGATTATGTGTTTTATTGTCGAAAAATAATATGCAGTGTTTGCCTGTACGAAAACATCACTTAGAGTGTCTGACTGTATGAAACGATTACACAGAGTGTTTAAGTGTAGGAAAAGATTATACAGAATGTTTAAGTGTAGAAAAAGATTATATAGAATGTTTAAGTGTAAGAAAAGATTATACAGAGCGTTTTAGTGTGGGAAAAGACTAAACGGTGTTTATTAGTGGAACAGTTTATCCATTTTGAGTGCAGAAAAACATAATCTAGTGTGTTTGATGTGTAGAAAAACTTTTTGTAGAGTGTTTGATGTGTAGAAAACATAATGAAGAGTGTTTGATGTGTAGGAAACATAATGTAGAGTGTTTTATGTGTAGAAAACATAATGTAGAGTGTTTGGTGTGTAGAAAACATAATGTAGTGTGTTTAGTGTGTAGAAAACCATTATTCAGAGTGTTTGATGTGTAGAAAACATAATGAAGAGTGTTTGGTGTGTAGGAAACATAATGTAGAGTGTTTTATGTGTAGAAAACATTATTCAGAGTGTTTGATGTGTAGAAAAACATAATATAGAGTGTTTGATGTGTAGAAAAACATAATATAGAGTGTTTGATGTGTAGAAAAACATAATATAGAGTGTTTGATGTGTAGAAAAACATTATGTCGAGGGTTTGAAGTAGGAAAAGACTATGTAGAATAGCTCATTGCATATACGGGTTATGTAGATTGTTTGAATGTAGGAAATGATGATGCGGATTGTGTGATTGCCGGGGGTAATTTTGGAGAGTGACTGTAGTTTATTACAGTGTAGAATCAGTGATCTTCAGACAATCTTCTGTACAGTGTTTAACTGAACATCGCTAGCACTTATCATTGACTTTGTGTGGTCAAACCCAATATAGACAACACTTAAATCGGCTGATAGTGACTACACTCAACATAGACAACTCTAGCATTGACTGACTGTGACAAACCCAAATATAGACATCACTAACTTTGACTGAGTGTGACCAAACCCAACATAGACAACATGTTCTTAGTGCACTTGTATTCATGGCGAGGCGCACACGCCGTCTGGAGGTGACAGGTTCAATTCCCGGCACGGTAACTATAGCTTTCGATTTTTATGTTGTCTAGTGTATTCTTCTATCTTTCCACTTCTTCATATGAGTGCCGATCAATACACTTTATATTACTTGAATAATTCGTAATATTTAATGGCCTCAAAGGTTCCCCCTCTGTTTATTTATAGGAATAGGATTGACTAAGTGTGACAAAGCCCAACATAGACAGCATTAACATTGACTGACTGTGACTATAAATGGTGTAATTTTAAATGGTAGTGTGTCTCTTATTTTTCTTTTAATATAATTATTTTTAATGTTTTTTTTTTTTTTTTTAAATAAATAGTTTAATATATACTATCAACACAGAACTAGACAGAACTCCCACATAGACAGCACTAGCTTTGACCGTGACAAAGAACCCAGCGTAGGCTCGCCTAAACTTCTTCGCTCAAATATTTTCAAAAATACACGTTGATGTATTAATGGATACATACAGCTGTGCTCACCCTACTGATGTGTAAGTAAAGTAAGTAACTTAAAGGACCCTGTTCCACGCTTTAGGCGTGTAGGGCATATAGGGCTAGACCTATATTTTATAGACCAACAGGATGGGTGATGTGGTAAGCATCACGCCGGCCGCCTCTACTTCCCAAGACTGCACCCGGTACCTACTCAAGGCTGGGACCTGGCCAGCCAGGTAATTTTTAAGAAAAGTCCGGCTCCGCCAGGGAGCGAACTCACTACCTTCTACTGATGTGGCACTAATCCTTTCTCTACAGCTTGCAAAGCTGGGGCATACGGCACTGGGTGCAGTCACAACTGTAGCCAGTTCTGTAGTACGGACGATACGATGAACATTCGATGTCACAATGTAAACGGGAGCTGCCTGAGTGGCTGTGTGCTGGGCTACCAGCCTCCAATGTGCACGGCATGTAAGTAGACCAGCATCATCAGTGAGTGTGTGAGAGTTTAGCTTACAGTGTCGGCTCTGTGGCTAAGTCGATGCGAACGCTTCGTAATGCCGGGATGCCGGCTTCGATCCCAGCTGCCGGCTATGCGCCTTGCGTTGGTTTCGACAGTGGTATCAAGAAAACCGACCCTCCAGAAAGCAATGGCAAACTACTGGACGTACATTTGCCTAGAAAAGCCACACAACAACCAGGGCTGTTGGGGTTGCTTCTGCAACGTCCTGTAAAGGATACGCAACTAACCAATACCATACAGTCGGGCACCGTTTCTTTTGGAGGAAACTGTTATCCTGTGTCGGCTTGCTGGGTCTGTTTCAGTTTCAATGAGTTATGCACACAACCTTCTAGAAGTTCTGCACCATTGCTTCCCCTTGGCGATTTGTACACGCCGTGCAGACAAACGGCTTCCGTTCGATCGAGGCCCGACACGAAAGTGCGCTGCTCTCTTTCGCGGCAGGCGACACTGAGCGACAGGGTGTGTGTGGGTGTGTGTGCAGGTGTGTGTGAGTGTGTGTGTGTGTGTGAGTGTGTGTGTGGTGTGAGTGTGCATGCGTGCGTGCGTGTGTGTGTGTTTGGGTTTGTATGCATGTTTAACTACGAGAAATCGCCCCCGACGAGATTCGGTGATGTTCACGTTTTGAAAAGCAAAAAGTAAAGAACTGTTTTTTCAAGCCTTAGGCGCATCGGGCATATGAGAAGAGAGTCCCATATTTTTACAGACCGATCGGCACTGGGTGCTGGCACTGGTCCACCAGATCGTGGAGAGCCAGAGACCGGTTGGGCTAAGACATGTGTCCAACACCATTGATAAAGACATGTGACATCTAAAGATGTTCAGAAAAGGCCAGCGTGTTTAACTTAAATCAGTTTATTTCGACATGGTTGCCTTTTGAGGATATGGTGATTTCGCGGGTTCTGGGGCCCTATTGTTAAAACAACAAATAAGAATAGACCCACTGCCTCTGAAACAAGAGAGTCAACTAATTAGGGGCTTTCTTTGAGGTCGAAGTGCATCTTTGTGACAGGCAAGTTGCATGTAAATAAAATAGATCTGTAAAACGGAAGTAAACGCAGAAATTCTGGAAAAGACTGAGAGGTGAAAGAACAACCAAAACTTTCCGACGAAATTAACAAACGGTGGACGCGGAGAAGAAGAGCTTTGGTGATTTTCAGAGGTTTTTAATCTTCAGCAAAGTCTTCTGAATCGTGACCAGAGTTAACAGTGATAGCTGTTGCAGCGACTCTCTCTCTCTCTCTCTCTCTCTCTCTCTCTCTCTCTCTCTCTCTCTCTTCAAAGTGTCAGATGTTCATAATCTTCCTATCGTCATTTTACCCCCAGAGTCACATACGGTCACACTAACCTTTAAACGTCTCTGAACATTTTAAGCTGCCACGCTTGTACAGCCAATAAATACTTCTCTTATAAAACTAGTTCACAATTTCGTTAGTTATTCTCGACGACCCTGTGTGGTAGGAAAGACAAGAGAGTTTCTTGCGACTAATAATGAGCAGAGAATCACTGATTTAGGGAGATGTTAAGGAGGAGGGGGGAGGTATTTAAAAAATATATAAATGGCTTTGTCACTTGACAGTCTGGGCTCAGGACAATGACATGAGATGAAACTGTTGCAATCATATGACATATGGAATCCAGGCGTGCATGACCGTATGACGCTCATGTGCAGTCATTTAATGTATGGCCCCTTTTTTTTCACCTGAACTTCAGCATCCACACACACACACACACACACACACACACACACACACACACACATTATTCATATATAGATATATATATATATATATATATATCATATATATATATATATATATATATATATATATAATCACCCTCTATGTGTATATATATATAAAGACGGCCGGCATAGTGCTGATCACATCACCCACTAAGTACCGATTGTCTATGAAAAAATATCTAGCTCTATATACACAATACATCCAAAGGCGTGTACAACGGACATTGACTTTTATAAATAAGAAAGAAACTTATCAGAGAGCTGCTGTTTGCAGATGAAGCAACAAAAACCACCCACTCGGAGGAGGAGCTGCAATGTTTACTGTCTGCATTTTCTAATGCATGCTGTAAATATTTGACTAATAATTAGGAACATGAAGACAAAGGTTGTGGTGCAAGGTGTTAATGATAGACCTGCAGTCTACATTGATGGATAAGAGCTGAAGACAGTTGACCATTTTACATATTTGCTTTCCACTGTGAATAACAAACTAGCGCTGGATCAAGAAATTCATATCAGGATAGGTAAGGCCGCAACAACAATGAGCATGACAGAAAAGAGTTTGGGAGAACAGAAAGCACGCGATTAAAACTAAAACTGTCAATCAGGCTTGTGTTCTCAGCACTCTGCTTTATGGCAGTGAAACATGGTCAGCTTATTTGCACTAGGAGAGACGGCTTAATAGCTTTCACATGCGATGCCTTAGAAGAATACCTGGCATTGAGTGGCAGGTCAAGATAATAAACATTGACGTACGGGAAAGAGCAGGTACTACTACAACAGTCTTCTCAATGCGCAGTCTACGAAGGCACAGGTGGCTGGGTCACACCTTGAGAATGGAGGATGAAGAGTCCCTAAGGACATCCTTTATGGCGAACTAAAGATGGGTGGAAGATGTCGAGGTCGACCTCTGCTACGATACAAAGATGTGTGCAAGCGGGACATGAATAATACAGGTGTTGAAGTGGACTCGTGGGTACAAAATGCCATGGACCGTATTGTGTGGAGGGGCACATCAGAAAGGAGTGAGAATAAAGGAAGAAATGACTGCAAAAAGGATGAGAGCTGAGCGTCTTAGAAGAAACAACCTAAACACAAATGTTGACTGACAACAGTCGTCCTGAAATTCCGTGCTGTAATTGTGGAAAACTTTTCTTAACGCGGGCGAGTCTTGCTGGTCACACTCGCCATCGCTGTGAGTCCCATACCTCCTCATAGCATCTAGTTAATCTTTACCACCCATATTTCCCCCATTTTTTTTTGGGGGGGGGGGGGGGGGGCACCTCATAATTTTCTCGCCCTGTGCAGCTGCACATGTTGCACTCGCCTGCATACAAACAGCCCAACGAGGCGACGCCTTCATGTTCGTGGTACATGCAGATGGTATGAAATGTGAAGTTTGTCTATGATTCTTATGACAATATTTGCGTGTAAAGTTACAATCACTTTAAATGTATATCCTATGTGTATGTAAAGTTACCAGTGCCTTGAAAATATTCTCTACATGCATGTAAAGTTACAATCACATAACATGTATTTCCTGTGTGCATATAAAGTAAAAATCATATTGAATGTGTTCCCTGTGTTTATTTGAATGTACATGTACATTGTATGTATTCTATGTTCATGAAAAGTTTCGCGTACCTTTAATGCTTCTCCTTTGTGCATGTAAAGTTACAAGGACCTTGAATGTTTTCCTATGTACATGCAAAGTTGCAAGCACCTTTAATGTATGCCATGTGTACATCTAAAGTTACAAGCTCATTGGAATGTATTTCCTAGGTGTATGTAAAGTTACAATGACCTTGATTTTATTCTCTATGTGTATCTAAAGTTAAAAGCACTTTGGATGTATTCCCAATGTCCCTTTACATTGAATGTATTACCTGTCTGCATTCAAAGTTACAAACCATTTTTTTGTCATTCCATATGTGCATGTAAAGTTATAAATACCGTGAATGTATTCCCTGTGTGCATATTAAGTAACACGGATCTTGAATGTATTTCCTATGTGCATGCAAAGTTACAAATACATTTAATGCATTCCCCTAATGTATATAAAGATACTAGGTCCATGAATGTATTCCCTATGTGCGTGCAAACTAACAAATACCTACAACGTATTTCCTATAGGCGTGTACAGTTACAGACACATTGCGTGTATTACCAATATGCATTTAAAGTTACCAGCACCTTGGGTGAATTCCTTATATTCATGTAAAATTACCAGAACACTGAATGTATTTCTAATGTGCATGTAACCTTACCAGTACTTTGATTGTTTTTCAAATGTGCAGGTAACATTTTCAGTAGCTTGAGTGCATTTCCATTGTGCATGTAACTTTACCAGTACCCTGAATGTATTTCCTATATGCATGTAACTTTGAATGTATCTTCTATGCTCAAGTAGCGTTATTAGTACCTTAAATGTACTTTCTCTGAACATGTAACGTAAAAGTAATTGCGATGCATTTTCAGTGTGTATGTAACGTTACCAGTACCTTGACTATATTTTCTATCTGCATGTAACTTTACAAGTACCTTGAATGTAATTTACACCTGCATGTAACGATACTGGTACCTTGAATATACGTTCTTCCAGTGTGCAACGCCGGCACTTACGGACCGGGATGTAAAGCGGTCTGCAGTCCCGGCTGTGCCAGGTCAGCGGACAATCCAGAAGTCTACTGTGACAACGTCAACGGGTCCTGCGCCTACGGATGTGCCAGTGGATATTCTGGGGACGACTGCGATACTAGTACACACCTGATACGTTTTGTAACATGATCATGTCCTCTGTGTGTTCGTGTCGTATCACTACCACCGCCATCATCATCTGATCATTATCATCGTATCAAAATCATCATCGAAATGGTCATTTTAAAAGTTAGAAGTAGCGTTATCAGGGCCGCAGTGCGATACTCTAGCATCTAAACCAGGGATTTCCAATTTTGTTTTTTAGGTAACGGCCCCAACCCACTTTTCTCGAGTATATGTAAAGACCTTAACACCCCCCCCCCCCCCCCCACCACCACCACCACTATAACACAGGTGATTAAAAAGAACACGACAAAAAAGACAGATTAACAGGAACAATGAAGAACAACCAAGCACAAGTGTCAAATACCACGGGAAACTATCGCCATCAGTTGTCCAACAATCAATGTGATGGCTGACACAGATTCGGCGTAACCAGAAGGTCTGGTCGGCTCACTTCACTCAGAGGAAAGGCAAGAAGGACATATAACTAAATTGTGACCTGTACCATCAGTACTGGAACTCTGCGCTAGCTGCTGAAGATGAGGACGAAGCCCGCATGGGAATGCTCCCCAGTACTGTGACGTAAATTCTTGACTCCAATCAACTCAACTCAACTCAACTATACTCAATACAGATTTGGCTTGGTGATGTCTGTTTTTGGGCAAGGCCACACAGAGATCACTCTCCAAAACAAGCTAGCATCGCTGTTTTGTTTTCACCACTGTCAAGCTGCAAATCCGGATTATTATAAGTACAAGTGCACGCAGTTTCAAAAGTGCTGGCCCCACCCCCCTCTTTTTCTTAAAACTTCCTCACGCCCGCCTCTAAATTGAGAGACCACTTCCCCGTGTTTGTTCCGAGACCCTGTTAAAGAAAGAAGAAAAAAATAGACCCACTGCCTACCCAAAAGCATGTTGTAAGAGTCGACTTATTGTGAGCGTCCTTTAAAGTCGCAGTGCATCTGCGTGAGAGGCAAGGTACCAGCAGTCTGCCTACAAATGTGGCAGTTCTGTAAAACAAATGCAGTCGCAACACTCAGGTTCTGGAACAGGACTGCAGTCCAGAAGTGGATAAACAACTAGAACATTTCGCAAGAGTTTACAGCTGGTGAACGCGAAGAGGAAGAGGACAGACCACTGATATAAACAGACTTGATAATAAGGCAATCCAAAGTTAGACCGCGCTATCGTAGTGGGTTAGACGCTCGGCTGTCGTCCTGAAAGTCTAAGGTCCAATCCCCATCGGGGGCGGAAGAATTTTTTTTGCTTTAGAACTGACCACGGCTGATAGTTCAACCCAGCCTAAGATGAGTAAAAGTAATTTACTGGAAAGGAAAGTGTTGAGCGCAACCAGATGTGCTGCTAACTGCCCGCAGCTCCGTTCTCTTCAGACCGCAATTATCTATTTGTGCTTCTGCACTGTTCGCTCGTTCTTGAATTGCCATGAAAACATATAGCTTGTCAGACATCACCTCTCCACCATATGGTACAATACTGGTCAATCTGTCTGCCTGCTCATTTCCCAAAACACCGCATAACCTGGAGACAATATCTGAAGGACGCTAACTACCCGAGACCTGTGAAGTGATGCTTGCCATTCTGCACGGAGCATACCTATCGCCAGCCTTCTCAACATGATCTGTGAGTTACAATCACGACTTGTGTGTACAGCTGAATTTCAAGCCAGGGGTCCCCCCCCCCCCCCCCCCCCCAAAAAAAAAAAAATAACGGAAATGGCTTTGTTCCGAAATAAAGCGCCTGCCGTGGAAATTGAAACTTTGTAAACTGGAATCACACAATTGTGAAACACATTCACTCGGTATAAAGGCTACAGAGTGTCGTATTGTGTGCGGCCCTCTCTACAAGCAAACAGCCGCTCTAAAAGAAAAAAAAAAAGCTCTCTGGGTAAAGCAAGGCGCAATAACCTCGTTCAACATCAATGGCTCGGTCATTTGCAGAACGTCTCTCTCGTCACGGGGCATCGGGATGTCTCTCTTTCTCTAGAAAATTATCCAGCCCTTTGTGCTTTCATATGCAGTGTATCTTTAATTTCTCGTATCCATGTTGGCTAAGGTCTGCCTCTGTATCGTATTCTGCAAGCTTTATCTCTCCAGGCAAGCTTGAAGTTTAAGATGGCCAAAATATCTTAGATGTCAGATCGACGTCTCAGCAAGATATACTATAGAAATGATCCCTAAAAGTATTATCTTAATGTCAGGGCAGGATGCTGTTTATGGGCAAATTCTCCTCGATATTCAGATCATGTAGGATATCAGTGTTGTTCTTCTTCTTCTTAGTTCACGATATTCTTAGCATATGTTCTGTAGCATTTCACTTTAAAGGCTCCCATTTTTCCTCAGTTATTAAAAAAGAATCAGTGACTTATACGTGATAAACTATATACTCTTGATTTAACTCATTTTAAAGCTTAAAATGTCAATTTCCGCAGCAATTAGCAAAACAAGATTGCTTTTTATGTCTGTATGGGTGTTAGATATATTATGCCGGGTGTAATATTTGGACGGACCGAAGATTTCATTTAAAATAATTATATCACCTTTGTAGGGAATCCAAATATATGCAAATGTTACATACAAGCTAGTGATTAATTAACACAACGTCATCGAAGATAAAAGGATGGTATGTGTTTCTGCAGGCTGTGGTCCCGGAACGTTCGGACCATCTTGTAGTTTGCAGTGCAGCAAAAATTGTGCCAACGCCACCAACGGGACGATCCCAGCCTGCGACTCTTTGAACGGGACTTGCTCCAGAGGCTGCCTCAGTGGATTTCGTGGTCCTTTCTGCAACTTGAGTACGTCACGTCGCTTGCCTATAAGACTTTAATGATATTACTGTTAGGGGTCCCAAACGTGGCAGCTTAGGCATACTTATTGCACTGTGCCCCCTTCAGAACTGCACCTGCAGGATTAACACCTCAAGGGTGAGAGCATGTGCACATTTTAGTAAGCCCTGTTCAACCGTAAGGTTATACTAGGGATCCAGGACAATTACGGCGTCACCTGAAGTTCGGACCAGGCTTGGATGTGCGCATACTGAAACCTTTCCCACCCAGACAAGAACAGTTTCAGTGTTAGCTGAGCCCTCGGCATCCTGCCCAAACTCACCCACCACCACCTTTTGCAAATCTGTAACAAGGCTAGACGCCCCCCCCCCCCACCCCTCCCCTTAGTAACGTTTGGAAGTTGTCTGTCTGGGTTTTTGTTTATACTTTCGTCCAAACCGAGTTTTTATAGAATATATTATATTTCATCGTCATCATCATCAGTTTTCACGTTTGTCGTTAAGAGTTTGCGATCCATTGCTAGTTAGGCAACAATTGCTAATGTCATTCCATATCCATATGGAAGCTCTTTAATAACATCAATCCTTCTTCTCCTCGGGCAGACAGTTTATGTGTAACGCCTGCAGTGTTAGTTGTTTTGGCTACATTCTTACTAGATGATCAAACCATTTGATCTTGTTTCGCAATGAATTTGCTGCATAGTGTTGTCTCTTTAGTCTGTCTGATAATGTCATTCCTGACTTTGTCTCTGATGGTCAAGTTGTCGACTTTACTCAGACATCTTTTATTGATATCTCTGTTCCAGTTTGGGATGCAAATTTTTGTTATTCTGACGTCCCAGCCTGGCTCTTGCCGGGGGCCGCTAAAATATAACCTGACCTATATGTTGAACATGGTTTCTGGGACATGTCCACGGGTTATCCTCATCCGCATGGTGACATTACGTATCCCTGAGTGTTTATCGCTTGGTTTGATGTCCTAGTGGGGTGAAATATCAATCAGTCAGACATCTTATTTCACAGGTGGTAATTTCACGTAGTTTGTTAGCATTTGATAATGCCCAAGTTTAGCACTGGAAGCACAGTCTTGGTAAAAATTTTTTTTTTTAAACATACTAGTAAAGATGTTAATAACAGTAACGTATTGCGCCTAATAAGGGCTTAGACCCCTCACCCACATACATCATTTGTAAGGGGTTCAGCCCGGAGGGTTCCCCACTGCTCTTGTGACCTTACTTCTATTTACTTTAGATATCTTTCTATTTTTGCTGTTTTTAATGATTTTTGTTTTTGTTTTAAAGAATATAGTTTTTTGATAATTCCTGTAATTGAAGACCACGAACACTACGCAAATCAAGACTGAAAAGACAGAAGGAATGTCAACAGGAAGACAGAAGGAGGACCTAAATATAGCAGTTCTCAAAAAGTTTAAAAAAAATTATATTGCATTCAGCCACCAGTTTACTAAGTATCGTTTCTGCTAAAGATGGACTACATAATTCACATCCCTTGTCAAAGCTCTGATAATAAAGAGCTATATATATATATATATATAATGACACTGGAACGTCACATCTGCGCTACCGTGGGAGGGAATCTAACGAGGTGTAATGACATATTACATCACAGACTGGCTGGCACTGATTTGGCCTAGGATTTTATAGTTTTGAGATAGTTCATTATCAGAGAATCTTTAGCGAGAAAAGCTCTCAAGTGGACAGCAGATAGAAAAGGGAGTCATGGAAGAGTCATGGTTAGGGCATATTAAAAGACTGACAGATGACAGAGAAGTAAAAACTGTATACACCAGGGAGATGAATGGTCGTAGACCACGAGGTAAACCAAGAAGACAAGGTACACCTGCAAACACTTGGTGTCACCAACTGGAAAGAGAAGGCCAACCAAAGAGATGAATAAAGGCGGGTGATGTCTGCAGCAATGAACCTCAAGGGTTCGGAATGCTAAAGAAGAAGAAAAAGAGACATAAAAGACCCAAGGAAACCAGACGAAACACGGCAGAAAAGGAAAGGAAAAAAGGTAAAATGACATGGAATGCTAGATAGGCAGAAAATTAGCGGACCGGCAGCAACAGAGATCACACATTATTGCCCCATGTGTCAAAAGCCACATGAACAGAATATATTGACAGATCAAATGTCAAAGAAACTCGAACACATTACACAGAGGGATAGAGATCTTAATTATAGAAACTAGAACACATTACCAAGAGGAATGGAGATCTTAATTATAGAATGTAGAACACATTACCAAGAGGGATGGAGATCTTGATTATAGAAACTAGAACACATTACACAGAGAGATTGAGATCTTGATTATAGAAACTAGAACACATTACCAAGAGGAATAGAAATCTTAATTATAGAAACTAGAACACATACACAGAGGGATAGAAATCTTTATTAGAGAAACTAGAACACATTACCAAGAGGGATGGAAATCTTGATTATAGAAACTAGAACACATTACCCAGAGGGATGGAGATCTTAATTATAGAAAGTCGAACACATTACCCAGAGGGATGAAGATCTTGATTATAGAAACTAGAACACATTGCCCAGAGGGATGGAGATCTTAATTATAGAAAGTCGAACACATTACCAAGAGGGATGGAGATTTTGATTATAGAAACTAGAACACATTACACAGAGGGATGGAGATCTTGATTATAGAAACTAGAACACATTACCCAGAGGGATGGAGATCTTAATTATAGAAAGTCGAACACATTACCAAGAGGGATGGAGATTTTGATTATAGAAACTAGAACACATTACACAGAGGGATGGAGATCTTGATTATAGAAACTAAAACACATTACCCAGAGGGATGGAGATCTTGACTGTAGAAACTAGAGCACATTACACAGAGGGATGGAGATCTTGACTGTAGAAACTAGAACACATTACACAGAGGGATAGAAATCTTGATTAAAGAAACTAAAACACATTACCCAGAGGAATTGAGATCTTCATTATAGATACTCGAACATATTACCCAGAGGGATGGAGATCTTGATTATTGCTGCAGCCTCATTTCACTGAGGACACAGGGTGCACGGTGCGAAAGGGTATCACCGTACCAAGAAGTAAATATCAAAACAAATACATCCTATCTTGTTTGTCTCTAGCGTGTGCTCTAGAGAAGTACGGAGCCAATTGTGCTAAGCAGTGCAGTACAACCTGTGAAAAACTGATAGACGACTTATCCAACTCGTGCAATGATCGAAACGGAGCCTGTCTGCATGGCTGTGTTATCGGATATGTAGGAGCATTGTGTACAGAACGTAGGTCATCTCATTTTGTATAGTTTTCCATGTCTGATATTTTTAGTGTTTTTCTTGTGTATTACATGTGTATGTATTTGTTGGATAGTGAACTATTATTCCTGTCTCCCTGCCCCCCACCCGCTTAACTTCTCATCGTTACATTTTTGTGTGTGTATTTTTCAGCGTCTTCTTTTTCTACTGTTTAATCATCTTCTTATTCTCATTCTTCATATTAATATTATTTTGCTTCTTCTTCTTCTTCTTCTTTTTCTTCTTCTTCTTCTTCTTCTTCTTCTTCTTCTTCTTCTTCTTCTTCTTCTTCTTCTTCTTCTTCTTCTTCTTCTTCTTCTTCTTCTTTCTTCTTTCTTCTTCTTCTTCTTCTTCTTTCTTCTTCTTCTTCTTCTTCTTCTTCTTCTTCTTCTTCTTCCTTCTTCTTTCTTCTTCTTCCTTCTTCTTTCTTCTTCTTCCTTCTTCTTCCTTCTTCTTCCTTCTTCTTCCTTCTTCTTCCTTCTTCTTCCTTCTTCTTCCTTCTTCTTTCTTCTTCTTCCTTCTTCTTCTTCTTCTTCTTCTTCTTCTTCTTTTTCTTTTTCTTCTTTGTCTTCTTCTTTTTCTTCTTCTTCTTCTTCATTCCTTGTGTTCTTATTCCTGAATGGTCGATTCTTGATACAGCTGTCGAAACCAACATAATACACTCTGCTGCCCAATCGCCTGCAGCTGGGATCCAACCTGACACCCCCGGCTTTACGAAGCGTCTACGCTACACCTAAGCCACAGAGGCCGACATTTTCTGATATAATGGTCACACATCAGGAATGCAGCCACGTCTGGCACTCAGCCCTTCCAAAAACTGGGCTTACTATGAAGTCACACATCAGGAATGCAGCCACGTCTGGCACTCAGCCCTTCCAAAAACTGGGCTTACTATGAAGTCACACATCAGGAATGCAGCCACGTCTGGCACTCAGCCCTTCCAAAAACTGAGCTTACTATGAAGTCACACATCAGGAATGCAGCCACGTCTGGCACTCAGCCCTTCCAAAAACTGGGCTTACTATGAAGTCACACATCAGGAATGCAGCCACGTCTGGCACTCAGCCCTTCCAAAAACTGAGCTTACTATGAAGTCACACATCAGGAATGCAGCCACGTCTGGCACTCAGCCCTTCCAAAAACTGAGCTTTTAATGAAGTGGACGAAGCAGAGCAGCGGATGAAGCAAATGACGCACTGTTCGATATTTGGAATATACATAGCTATTACTGACTCGTCTAATCCCAAGGGAGAGATATTTTACAATTTCTATCCCAACCTTTTTAAACTTTGACCAAGGTCTTCAGATATTAAAACCACCAGAACTGAATGGATTAGGTAAAATCTGGACGGATGACAAAGCGTGAAGACAAGAGCTTTGATTTAAGCTAAACTTAACGAATGCATGGCGAGCTGGTATCATTAAATGAGTTGATATGACACCAACACTGCCTGTGTGAGTTCTGAGACCCCTTTTATTAACTCTTTGAGCCCCAGGGAACGCATTATACGTTCATAGGTTCTTACCTAGAAGCCCAATGAACGCATTATGTGTTGATTTTATTATCTTTTTACTACCCTGTGGGCCTGTGATGCTTTACCCCCTGGGACTCAAAGAGTTAAGGTGGGGGGGGGGCGAGGAATAGTACAGCTACTACCACATAAGAAGCATGTTCTACGAGGTGAATAATTAAAGAATCACTGAAATCGACCATCCTCTTCTGCTTTTTTTCGCTACCCCTAGAATGCTTGGCGGTGACAGGGCAGAAAGAGATATCAGGAAAGTTCTAATCTTGTTCACTGGGTATATAGTAATGTTCAGTGTGTCCATCTTCTGGTCGACGACTGGCTCTGTTACCGTTGTATCTGTATAAGATTGTTTTCGGTGATGACAATCATGTTGCATGGTCACACTATTTAGTCTATAATCTACCCCCCCCCCCCCCTCCCCCCCCCCCCCAAAAAAATGTTAAGTACTGGTTGTTTACCAACTCTCATCCTCAAATTATCATTTCTGGTGGGCACTACGCTAAAATAGATTTTTTTTTTTAAAGCCAGTTTCGCATCAGGAATTTAAATTCCTGGTTTTAGAGACCTATCGATATTTTTTGGATCTGTATCACGTTGACCGACTTCGCTTTCTGTGACATTTTCTTGTTTCAATTCTAAGCTAGATCAACCAGCGAGCTAATGTTAATAAAAAAAAAAAATATCTAGGACCTGGAGTGGTTTCGAAGCTAAAACATTCGAGATATTGAACATGCGTCTAACTACTACCCTATCTTGGCTTCTCCATATCTCAGTAATAAAGTGCACGTCAATTTTAGTTCACCTCAAATAAAGGAAACGAAGGATTTCCCAGGAAAGGCAAATATTCTAGCGGTTTGGGTGTTGAAATTGACACTAATGCTACAATTTAGTAGGACAGTAGCAAGACAACTTCTCCGTGCCGTAGCACGAAAATAAAACTGATCTTTGTCAGCCGTGACAGCCTCCGAGACACCGACTAACTCTAACCCTAACCTCACCCCGTAACACCCCTAGAATATTACATTATCCAAAAAACTCTCGGATTTCTTTCGTTTAGGGTGAATTAAAATTGAAGTACGCATAAAGTAAGAAGTAAAGAAATCATAAACACTAGGGCATTTTCAGGCTGTAGGAAAGATATGTACGGCCAAGACTGCTCACATGAATGTTCAGCCAGATGTGCATCTCCTCCTGATGGTAAAAGCACTCACTGCAACTTCATCAACGGTTCGTGTCTCCATGGCTGTATTGAGGGCTATATTGGAGAAGATTGCGACCACGGTGAGTGTGACTCCTTGACTGCCAGTGCTAATTTTACTGTTACATTGTTGTTGTTGTTGTTGTTGTTGTTACAGTCAGTCAAGGAATGTCATGGGGAAGAATGCGACCCGATAAGTGTGACTCTTGGACTGCCAGTGCTAATTTCACTGTTACAGTGTTGTTGTTGTTATTGTCGCTAGGGTAAGAGAGTCAGTCGAGGAATGTCATGGGGAAGTCTGCGACCCGATAAGTGTGACTCTTTGACTGTCAGTGCTAATTTCACTGTTATACTGTTTGTTGTTGTTGTTTTTTTACTGGATGAGAGAGTCAGTCGATAGCTATACTGGGGGAGACTGTGACCACGGTAAGTGTGACTCTTAGACAACCTTTGATAATATGTCTTAAACAATTGACTGTTGACAGAGTCAGTTGATAGCTATAAAAGGAGTAGACTGACACGGTAAGTTTGACACTTTCACAGTCCGTGCCTATTTATGTTATACTGTTTTTGTATCGGGAGTGAGAGAGTCAGTCGAGGGCTATATTCAGAAAGTCTGCGATCACGGTAAACGTGCTTCTTGGATAGCTCATGGCAATTTTTGTGACACTGTTGTTGTTGCTGGGGTAGAACAGTCAACAGAGGGCTATACCGAGAAAGGCTACGACCACGGTACATGTGTCTCTTGGACCGCCTCTGTCATTTTTTTTTAACTGTTGTAAGTAGTGAGTAAGTAAAGATCCCTTTACACGCCCTTAGGCGCATCGGGCATATGGGACGAGCACCTATATTTTTACAGATCAATCGGCACTCGTTGGGTAATGTGGTCAGCATTACGCCGGCCATCTTTACTTTCTTAGGACAGCCATCCTGGTACCCATTTGAGGCTGGATCCACGCAGCCCGCAGTGGGTTTCGATCGCGGTACGTTGGATTACGAGTCAGCCTTGCAACACCTTAGCCACGGACGCCGCACTGTTGTTATGGGGACGAGGGAAGCAGGGTGGAAGACACAAATCTTGACAGCTCGTAGGCGGGGGGGGGGGGGGGGGGGGGGGGGGGGGGGGAGGGTGGGGGGGGGGGGGAGCGGTTTGGGGGGGGGGGGCGGGGGGGGGGGGGGGGGGGTGGGGCAACTTTTACCAGCCGAATCAACTGGATCGCCGAGCTTTTTAAACGGGCCACTAGGCTAGTGTGCTGTTACTATTTAATCCTTGAACTAACGAAATAGCCGAACACAAAATTATACGACTGAAAAAAAAAAAAAATAGTCAAACATAAACATCCAAGAAAGGAATAATCTTAACATCGATAGCCAGAAATAGGTTTCTCCACATCGTTACTCTTGCTAGTGAAACACCTGTGGCGGACAAGTTCAGACATTAGTATTACGAGACAAAGTATGTCAGCAGACTTCGTTTCAACATTTAGGGCGGTGACCTTTCCTTTCATCTCTTGTCGTCAAGCTGTATGGATCAGAAGAGTGCGAGAACATTTTTATGGCAGCAGTTTTTCTGAAGACGCCATCCTGGCCAACATAAATAAAGTATCAATTACACGCGTACACATACATTTATCAACTGCAATCTACTCAAACATCTTATGGCAAACAAATGACAACAAACAAAATAGCCAACTACATTATTAGTCTAGCATGCACACACACACACACACACACACACACACACACACACACACACACAGAGACAGATATACCCCTTTCCCCAAACACATCCACACAATCACACTGTGTGACCAACTATCCAACCAGTCTACTATGCGACAAACCACATAACCACAGAGCCCACCAGTCCGGACATGGCACACATTTTACCCAACCACTTCCCCATTATATGACATGACAAGTTATTTAACAAACCACTTAACCAGTCTATGACATGACACACTATTCAACCAACCACACAACCAGTCTACCATAGGACAAACAGTATCACCAAAAACCCAATCGGTCAACTATATCTTCTTAAAGTCCATGCCGTGTGGCGTTAGTAGTTATGTCTATTCACAACCTTCTGTCTCGTGTACTTTCAATCAACTCTGAAAGAGATGATCTTCCATGCCATGATGTCAAACCGAACAGCATCTGTTCCCTCGATCTTTATCTGTCTCTCCTTCCCTCCACCTTTTCTGGAGTCACAATTCACTCCAATTTTCTCCTTCTCATCACAAGTCCAAAGAATGTAGATTATCTCTTTCTGATGTGGGCAGTCAGTTTTCTTAAAGAGTCAGTTTCTTTTAAAATGTCTTTATTACTCATTTTATCTGCCTAGGGTATTCTCATCATTCGTCTATAAAATCACATTCTAACAATTGTTTAGGTAAACGTAGTCAAGACCTTTATTAATGTAAAACTTACAGACAGCCATGTAATACATTCGGACAATTATTTATATAACACACCCAGATAACAAAATACATTCAGACAAATAATAGTTTAACATAGACAGACAATTATTGACACATCAGATGGATAAAGTTATGAATATAAAATAGATTCGAATATATATATATGTCAAGATCAGTGTGCATCTTATACAATGCTATCACGTTATTCTATTTTCTTTAAATTTCCGGTCCCACAATTATATTTTTCTTTAAACTTTAAGTCCCAAAATCCAGGTATGTCGTATTCGGGGAGTGTCTCATCAGCAAATGGCTTGCCAGCTGGCGTGAGCGATCGTGTATCTCCATAATTCCCGGTTTTGGGTGTTCGGGATCAATTCCATTGTCTTAAGTCCTCTTTTCTTTCGAGCTGCCTCTGTATCTTATACCAGTGATCTTTCCTGTCGTCATGATACTTTCCAGTGCTACTTTTATCATTACATGACCAAAGAACGTGTTTGATGCCTTCTCATTGCTATTTATATAGGGTTCTACATTCATTAACCATTTCCATGCAATCATTGTTACTTCTTCTGGCAGTCCCCGGTTTGTGAAGCATTCTTCTCAAGAACATCTCAGTTGCCTCTAAGCTCTTCTTATTTTGTTTACCTACATTCCAAGATTCACTACCATACAACAGAACAGACTCGATATAACATTTTAGAACATCTCATACTTAGTGAAATAACTGTAATTTCACACAAACACAGATGGCAAACATCTGTCCTGTTTTCTTCAGGAGTCACAAACCCGTCAACAGCCGAGGTCTCCGACTCTGAAGGATGGAACACAGTTTACGTCATGGCCCTGTTTAGCCCTATGATGTTAATTTGCATCATTAAGTTCTGCGTAAAGCCAAGGAAGAAGTTGGTTTTAGATTTTGCAGAGGAAACAACCTTGGAGAACACGCAAACCACGGGTTCAGAGCATTCAAATTAGGCACCACAACCAGAACACACGTTGGCAACATGTCATAGATCGACCGGGCGGCGCCATAGCAGTTCAGCCTCCGTTCTGTCATTGGTGGCATAGTCGAGTCTCTTAGACGGAAACAGTACAAGAACAGACATTAATGTGATGGTACTGGTCAAGAGTTATGAGTTATGATTCGACATCTTAGCAGTCGGGACATTCCCATGGTGTTCTGTACCGTCTTCAGAGGCAAGCACAGTTTTAGTTCCAATGGTGACAGAACAGGCTGATTTGTATGCCCTCTGGTCCTACTGCTGCTACTACTACTGGTGTTGATGGCATTAGTACTGCGGCTACTACTACTGGTGTTGATGGCATTAGTACTGCGGCTACTACTACTGCTTCCGCTGCTGATACAGCTACTACGACTGCTGATACTACTATTACTACTACTTGTCATCATCATGAAGCAGGTCATTTGCAGAACGTCACTCTCATCACGGTCTGCCTGAAAGAAACTCGGTCTCTCGCCAGCTCTCCCGCCTCAAGCACTTTCATACTCAAGTAGTCACTTATTTGCTAAGCCGATCTTCGTGTTGGTCGGCCCCTGCCCCTCCTTCCTGGTACCATGCCTTTTGTTATAATTTTTTTTTCCAATCAGTCGTGGCGCTTGATATGACCTAATTATTACAGTTTCCGAGACAGCATGCTGTTTATTAGCCAATCTTCCTAGATGTTCAGATCTTTCAAGATGTCAGTATTTCTTCTATTCTTTGTCCAAGATATTCTGAGAATCTTTCTATAGAATTTCAGCTCAAAAGCCCCTATACTCTTTCTTAATACAAAAAAAAAAAAAAAAAAGCATGTGCCGGAGTAAAGCTTGTAGTTAATAAGGCTAAAAGAGATAAATGGACACAAATTGCTCCAACTTAGACCTTAGACAGAATGGAAATAAATCATGGACTTTGGTTAAAAACATCAAAAAAGTAGAAGGGTGGACATGAAACCAGTGATAGATGGGAGTAAGACAATCACTGAAGACAACAAGAAAGCAGAAAATTTCAACATTAACACTGAGTTGAATGGACCCAGGAAATTGCAGCTCAGACCTCTTGATCCCATCTTATTTCAAAATATGACTACATAATGATCCCCTTCCTCACCCTTACCACCTCTCTCTCTCTCTCCCTCCCCCCCCCCAATTTTTATCTCATATTTACATATATATATATATATATATATATATATATATATATATATATATATATATATATATATATATAATATATGTATATGTGTGTGTGTGTGTGTGTGTGTGTATTGCCGCTCCTGCAGCAGTGTCGTGCATTCAGTGAAGACACATGGCATTGATCCAAGTCGTACGCCGTGCAGTAAAGCTTGCAGGTTATTTACTTCCGGGGCCCTATTTGAGTGAAAACAAGAATAGATTCCCTGCCTCCCCAACAGGCATGTCGCAGGAGTCGACTAGCTAGGGTTTTTTCGGAGTCGGGGTGCACCTGCTCTAGCGACGACGAAGAATCAACTGCACACAAATAAACTAATAAAATGGATGTACACTCAAAACGCTGCCCCACGGCAAAGCCAAACTGAAAAGACGAACAACCAGGACTTTCCTCTGGAGCTTACAACCGGTAAACAAAGAAGAAGAAGACGTTTTATGCATTACCTAGTTATTTTGGAACAGACAAAGGCACACACATGTATGGCAGACAGGCACGTTTATCAACATTATCGCTCATTTTGCTTTTTAGAACAAACTAATAAATTTGTTTAAAAAAAAAAAATTAACGAATGTGTAGCCTCTTCTGGCACAAACTAATGTGGTTAGGGCACGTGGTGAGAAAAGTTTCGATTGCAAAGATTATTCAGTATTACCGCATAATACGAAAGCCCCAGTTTCGAAGAATTTAGAATCCAAACGAAATTTTCAAGAAAGGCGTGCCTCGAAACTGGAACACCATGCTCTAAACTGAACGCGCAGTACGTGCCGATCAAGCAGCTGAACTAACAACCGAAGAGCTTTAGCATCGTCACCAGCAGTAGAAAGAAGGAATTGCAGAAAAATGTAAGGGTGTTAGGACTGCTCAGATTCAAGATATTGTGACCCTGTCATCAAAAGCGCAAGAAGTTGTTGAGCGATGGCACAGGTGTGTTAGTTGATGATGCCATTATTGAACATTTTAGAAAAGTGGCTGTTGCAGCCACTTTCCAGACAATTTTGGAACGCTGGCTATCAACAAACACTAGTGACCAACCCCTCTACAAAATGCTCATCAGAGTGCTGTTGGATATGTAGATGGGAACAAAATAGGTCAACTGGATCGCAGCAGCGCAATTTGAAAGAACAGTGTCGCTTCGATGTGGTGAAACGGCATCAAAACCTCAACGCGTCCCAATGGGTCTTCACAGGGATCACAACTGTTGTCTGCGCTTTTCAGTGTGTACAAAGCAGGAGTCACGAGTGCACAAACCGTAGACCTAGGCAGAACAATGTCGTATGCAGATGAAATCATTGTGTACCGTCGAGGTAAATACAGGCACGAAATTACAACCACGCTACAACACGAACTAGACAGACTTAGTGAGTGGTGCCAGGAATCAAGAGCTCACGTGGATCAGTCCAAAGATTCATTAACATGGTTTTTTCTAAAAACCCACATCGTCAGTACACCAACGCCAGTCGTAAGCATGTGTGGTGTGGATATTAAAAGAACGGACACCATGAAATACCTAGGCATGATATTTTACAGATGCTAGTCATACAAATGCCACGTAGACAATGTCATACTTAGAGCCAGGAAAGGTCTGACAGCCCTAAAAGAAAGACTGGACCGAGTACAAAATGAGGCCATGAGACTCATACACGGGTGCACAAAAGACACCTTCGGAAACGCCATGTGTTATGTCCTGGGTTTGCCAACGATGACTAGCAGATACAAAGTAGCACAGGTCAAGACGTAAATCAGGGTATCAGCAGACGTTAACCCCCCACTGCACAAAGTTATACACGACACAACAGAAATACGTCTCAAAAGAGACCGCTCCTGGATTAAATCCATCAGGTATTTGACCTAGACAGGATCAGTCACGGAGAAGAATGGACAAATGCACCAGTAGATATGCATGACATCTATAAGGTTGTCAGCACACTCAGAAGGTACTGCAGAGATCACATTACATTCATGCGGCAGTAGACATAGAGGTAAGGAACTGATAGATCTGCATTCAGACCCAGAAGATAGCATCGTCTAAACAGATGGATCAGTGAAGCGCGGATCAAGGTCAGCATGGGCATACACAGTACAAAAAAGGGAGAAAACAATACATGAGGACAACGGCGCTTACCAGACAACCACGCCAAGCATAACCATGGAAATAGCTGCTGCTTCTAGAGCATTAGCATGGGTATCCGAGGAAACCGTCACACATACAGTAATTGTATCAGACTCCATGAATATTCTTTCTGAAGATAGCAGCAGGCGATATGATCTCTGAATAGGTAGAAATCTTTCGAAAATCGCACTTAACCTCCCTCACCTGAATATACACACCTGGTTTATGCGGGCGTAAAGGGAAATGAGCGAGCGGACCAGCTGGCAAGCATTGCACTAACGTGTATGGGAAGAAGCATGGTCAGAGCAGATACTGTCAACGCTGTCCAACTGGGCTAGTCGATAATGAGGAATCCCTGCCACTGACACTATTCCGTGACATGGGACACCGATTTTGATAGCATAACATAAAAATGTAAGAAATATATGGAAAAACCAGATACAAGGAAAGCACATCGTGTATGGAAAAAGTATTTTATTGTAAGAAATATATGAAAAACTCAGTTACGAGGCAGGCACAAATTGTATGGAAAGAGTGTTTTATTGTGAGAAATATATAGAAAACTAGAGTTTTTTTAATTGTAAGACATAGATTTAAAACGCAGATACAAGGAAAACACATCATGTATGTAATTATATGTAAACGAATGGCAAGTTGTTTGATAATAAACGTTGAATTTTAAATATTGAATTAACAATCGATGTCATAGCCCTCGGATCCCTCCCAGAAGCGCGCTGTCTCTATCTTTAGCAGAATTCCAGTTCCAATGGTACCAGTAACTGTTTGTACATCCGTTTCGCCTTTTCCTTGAGTTTTTGAACCTTCAGCCAGATCCCATAATAACATCAATTCAAAACCAAGTGGTGCAGAACCATCTAATTTTTCTCCCTGTTCGTTTCCCAGCACACCGGCTTTACCCGGAGAAAATATCCGAATAAAGTCAGTAGCAGGATTTGATGTTCTAGTTATATTGGTAATGGCAATCATAGCAGTGGTAGTGGCAGTAGTTACAACAGCAGGAGCGGGAAAAGTAATAGGGTGTTAGTGATCAAAGTAGCAGCAGAAGAACAATCACTGTTAGCTTTCGTGGTAAGCAGAAAGTGGTATCTACAATGTGTTGACCGATATCAGATATCGGAAACTCTACGTCGGTTACTGAAGATGGGGAAATGAATGCTGTGATATTACTTGGTCAACGTCTGTGGCAAACGCACTTCGTAATGCCGGGGTGCCGGGCTCGATCCCAGCTGCGGGCCCTGCGCCATGCGTTGGTTTCGACAGTGGTATCAAGAAGCCGACCGTCCAGGAAGCAATGGCAAACTAATAGACGTAAACATGCCTAGAAAAACCACATGAGCCAAAAAATGCTGGAGTTGGGTCTTCAACGTCCTGTTAAGAATACGCAACTAACTTGACCTAATGTTACTTAACTCAGCAAAAGTTAACTCATGTTAGCAATTTTATAATTGAATTTTGTTATATTTATGTTTACACATTATAAACGTGTTATCCGATGGTGTCCTTTACAATAATAGAACACAGACCAGTTCTTGTCATCATGTCTCTTTTCTGCGTGCATTGACTGCAAAATAAAAATTTATTTATGGGACAGGGATCTCACAGAAATAATGAAAAAAAGCGGAACAAATCCAGTCACCAAGTTTCTTCCCTTCCTGTTGAAGACACAGGCAATCTTCGTCACCCTCGCGATCGTCTGGCTGGTATTCAGCAAACAGAGGAGACCCCAAGGGAAGGACTTCGCCATCTTCGATCCATACAAACCGCCCCTCCTCTCTCATTTCATCACAGCCGACCCACACGTCTTCCGAAATTCCAAACTCCTCTTCCAACAACAGCAGCTTGTCCATTGTCTTAACGGAAGCTAGAAATCCGCCATGATGCCGGCAGTCTTCCTTAGCCTGAAGGTACGTCAACCATTTATTAGACTTCCAAATGCAGGCTGAAAAGCGTGGTCTGTGGAACAACTGGAAACCGGGTGTTTCGTTGCAGTCGAAACTGTGGAATAATTGTCCTTCCGTAGCGGAAGGTGGTGGATGTTGTTCATTTATCCATGACCCAGGGGTGCATAACCCTGTAGACTGATTATACATAAAACTCCGACAGTTGTCGTACTTCATCGTACACCGGACAGCACAGGATCCGACTGAGATTTCATGCCAGCCGTGCCCCAGCCGTACAGAACCCTTCACTGGATGGGGGTCTAATTTGAAGATTAAATTGTTAGACACAGCTGTTGTAAAAGAATTCTTCGCAAGGGATGCTGGAACTGGAAAGTATAAACAGTTAGTATTCGATATACTTTTTACTTTTCAAGGCGGAAAAAGTGTTACAGAAAAGACACCGTAAGTTGTGTGTGTGTATGTGTGTATATGTGTGTGTAGATGCGTGAGTTTGAAATAAGATGTTGCTCCTAGTGGAGCAAGTGAACAGGAGTGCAGAATTTGGATTAGATATAAATTTGAAAAAGACAAAAAGCATGATATTTAGCAAAGAAAATAATCAGCTAACAATGAATATCACAGTGAACGGGGTGAAATTAGAACAAGTTAAAAATTTCTTATATCTTGGACAAGCAATAACAAGTGACGGCAGAAGTCAAACAGAAGTCAAGAAAAGAATAGGGATGGCCAAAAACATTTTCAACGACATGCAAAAGTTACTGACATCAAGAGAAATAAGCAATACATTAAAAATGAGAATTGTCAAATGCTATGTATTCTCAACCTTACTGTATGGCACAGAGACATGGACAATGAACAAACAACTGGAAAATCATATCAATTCTTTGGAGATGTGGATATACAGAAGATTAGGTCGTATTTCATGGAAACAAAAGCTATCAAATACAGAGGTACTGAGGAAATTGGGAATGAAAAGAGAGTTTCTAGGGGGGAAAAAGGAGAAAAGTGAAATATTTTGGTCACATTAAAAGACATAACAGTATTGTAAAGATCATCCTAGAGGGAAAGGTTCAAGGTAGTCGAGCAAAAGGCAGGCAGCGTTACAAGTGGGAGGATAACATTAAGAGATGGACGAACAGCAGTATGAGTGATTGTACATCAAGGGCAAGAGACAGGGCTTGTTGAAGATCCATTGCAGCCAACCTTCACTGTGGAGTCGGCACCTGATTGATTGATTGAATAGACGGAGGGAAGAAGAGCTATAAGAAGAAGTGCAAGAGAAAACGAAGAAAATACAGATTATGAAAAAGCAATAATAAAGGAATAAAGAAAGAAACGATAACCGATTAGTTGAGATCTGAGCGTCTGAGAGAACACATTCTTAATACTTGCTATAGCTGCAATAGTTCCGAAATTCCATGTTCTAATTGTTGAAGAATGTTCTCAACGCGATCAGGTCTTGACAGATCATCGTAACTGGCTGCTATTCCTGTTCCTCACCATATTACATAAAAACACTGTAGTCTGAAAATACGGAAAGGTGTACACCTACAACCAAGGACAAGCTGGATGTTGTCAGGGAGTGAACAGTGCGGAGGCACAGACAGATCATTACGGTCTCAGGAGAATGACACTGCGAGGAGTTACCAGGGGATCTGGCAGACGCTCCACAGTCAGTACAAGGGCGAGACATAAATACAATCAGGCAGATACTGGTACCATCGGAATTGGAACTCATCGTTTTCTGCCGCAGATGGGGAAGGAATGCATTTAGGAGGTTTCAGAGTGTTGTGTTGTAGATTCTTAATTCAACATTCCAACAACCAAGGTTTACAATAAAAACAAACAGAAGATAAATAGACGCAATAGCTCAATAACAAACGTGACTGATGTAGAGTAGAAACGGAAAGAGGTACAGATGAAGAGGAGTGGGGTAAGAACCATATATGATACTCAAAAAACAATTGATTAGTTTACTGGTAATGGTAATTGTAGCTGTTGCAGTATTCTTATAAATACGAGTAACACTAGTAGCAGAAGATATAACTCTTATTACGCTTTTAATATTTTGTATTATTATTAATATTATAATTAATTTTTGTGCTGTATTTGTAGATTAGTAACTAGCAGAGACAAAAAGTCAATATTAGGAGGAATTGATATATTGTATTGTATTTACAAAAAGACATTAATAGCACAAATTGTAGTAAGAAGTAGTAAAAGTAGTAGTATTGGTAGTAAGTATTAAGTAGTAGTATTAGTAGTAGTAGTTGTAGTGGTAGTAGTAGTAGTAGCAGTGGTGGTGGTAGTAGTAGTAGGAGTAGTAGTAGTAGAAGTGGTAATAATAGTCGTATAAGTGATATCATTTGTAGTGATTGTAATAATATCGATTATAATATTATTATTAACAATCGTGTTCTAAACGCCATAATAAATATCAATGGAGGGAGTTCAACACAAGTCAAAAAGAAGATGATCGGAGCAGTGCAAGAGTTAAACAGCGCTAAAAAATTGTTGTATACCTACCTACAGGGACATCGCGTCATAATTTGAAGGGCGTGCATCTACCCTGTAGCAAAATTCGGATGTGAGACGGAATATATCGCAGTCATTGAGGAAGAAAACATGGGCTTTTCAGTTGAAATTCTATCATTATCATCATCATTAGCATCATCATCATCAGGTGCCTTGTCGACTGACGTCGGCTATCATGACTCTCTACAAGCCATGATCCCCTGCAGTATGTATCAGCTCTTGTGCTGACATACATCCATGCCATGCAAAAAGACTGTCAAGAGTCTTCTCTCGTTGCCTTCCCCTATCGCTTCCTCCACAAATATTTCCAGTGGTCACAACATGTTCCATTTTCCATCTTCTCATAACATGGCCGAAAAATGATTGTCTCCTTCTTATGTATGTGATAAGATGTCTTTGGGCTTCCTCCTCTTTAAAAACCTCTTGGTTTATCTTTTTGGCTGTCTAAGGTATTTTAAGCATTCTTCTGTAAAACCACATCAATGAGGCCTCAAGAAATTGTTTGACCTGCCTACCGACTGTCCAGGATTCACAGCCATATGTTTGAACTGGATGTATGTAGCACACAGGAGTTCTTTTTCTGTCTGTCAATTACAAAGATATATTGCATAAGATGTTCTTCTATATTATATAAAATGCAGTGTTTTGCCTGTTCTATTTTGTTTCTTATCTCAGTAATGCACCTTCTATTTGATGTTATCCATTTGCCCAGATACTTAAATTTCTGTACTTGTCCTAAAAAAAAAAAAGCACCATTGACTTGTATTACACATTTGGGAGTAATTATTTTCGTTGATACTACCATTACTTCTTTCTTCCCGTTACTTAGACCGCTGGCCGTTCTATCATCACAATGTCTATCATTTCCTGTAGTTCTTTCTGACTTGTTGCTATCAAGGCTGTTTAATTCTATGGATTCTCTAAATATCAAGGGCGAAGAAGAAGTTTAAAAAAAAAAAGACGGCATTATGAGTAGTATAAACAGCAAGAGAGATTGGCTAGCAAACAGCATCTTGTCTTGGATTTCTGTCATTGTCTGGCAAAATCAAGCGGCACGGCGGATTTGAATGAAAAGTAGCAGAAGGCATGGCCCAAGAAAAGAGGTACAGGAGCTGAACATCACGCAGATGGGCATAGGATGTGAAAGATACTTTGGGTAAGAAAGATCACCAGGCGGAAGATCTGGCGAGACACCGAGTTCCTTTCAGGTACGTAGTAATGAGAGTAACATTCTGCAAAGGACCTGCTACACCAGGATGATGATAATGTTATTAACAGTGGCAGCAACTGGCATACTTTTTATTTGACTTTTTTTGTTATGTTTTGTTCATATGACATTAAATGGCACTTTATCGGCTATGCAGTTAATATTACATTTCAGCCTTTGTTTTTCTATTAATATTTTTTTCCTGTCACCCATGTTTTCCTAGGCCTCAATAACAGATGCAGCCATGAAATAGAAGCATTTCCTCGCAATCATGAATGAAGAATGTAAAACAAATAATATAAGAATCAAAACTGAAAAGACAAAAGAGCAGTCAATAAAGAAAGCGAAACCTAAATTTAACTATAGATTGTAAGGCCATTCATTGAACAGACATTTGAGTTTAGATATATGACAACAATATTTACCGATGATCGCAAATTATATTTAAAAAAAAAAAAAAAAAAACTTCTTATGTAGCGCAGCAAAAATATGAAAATAAAAAATAAATTGGGGCAATACAATGCAATCCTAGTCAGCACAAAGAAACATCTCATACAAAACAGGCTTATTGAACCCTATTCTACCCGTGTCAAACAGTGTCACTCAGAACATATCAGAAAAGAAAAATTAGAAGCTACTGAAAGGAAATATCTGAGAAAAGCTGTAGAAAGGACCAGAAGACATAAACATCAAGAATGATGTCATAAGAGACAAAGTCGGCACTGAACCAGTTCACAATTGCATGCGCAACATGACAAGGCAGATGTGGTCAAGGCCCTTTAGGAACAAGGAACGGAATCAGTAGAGAAAGAAGATTATTATAGCCTGGAGAGAATGAGGCACCTTTGTGTAACCAAAGGGTCTGGCCGGCTCACTACACTCAGAGGAAAGGCAAGACGGACTTTTAACCAGATTGAGACCGGTACCATCAGTATTGGAACTCTGCACTGGCTACTGAAGATGAGGACGGAGCATGCATGGGAATGCCCCGAGTGCTGTGATGTCAATTCTTGACTCAACTCAACTCCACTCAACTCAGTTGCATACACAGATATAAAATATTTTGCACACTTAGAGAGAATGCCTTGTGACGCTAAACCATATAAGGCATTCACTAAAATAGAAACAGGATGTAATCAAGAGGAAGACCGAGATTTAGATTTAAAAAAAAAAAAAACACGAAAAAAACTCTTCAACCGAACGATGTGTCTTTGGTCGAGACACATTATTTTTAACGATAGATGAACCAAGTACTGCTCTTGAAAAAAAAGAGTGTCCTTGGCTTGTGGGTTTTTTTTTTTAATAGCTTAATGCAATTTTTTTTTTAAATTGAAAATAAAACTGGAAAAGAAAATTATTTGTATAACTTGCTACAAGCACCAGTGAAATAACTTTAAAAATTACTAGACGCTCCCATTGTAACATTCCCCCCTTCCCCCCTTACCCCCCTATGTTAAAGACCAATGGTCCAGTT